ATTATTATTATTATTATTATTATTATTATTATTCCTCTTTTACTGTCAGAAATGTTGACAGCTGTTTTGTATATGTGATATTTGTTTTAATTTCTTAATATTTTAAACACATTGTGCTGCAATACCTGTTTGTACATTTGTGTTGGGGGTTTTAACCTTGCATTTCCTCTTCTATATTTCTTATAATTTACATATTAATAATATAACCCTTAATAATAATAATAATCCTTGCTTTTGATATAGCGCTTTTCACGTCGGGAAGACGTCCCAAAGCGCTTCACAGAACACATTGTAAAGTGAATTGACTGTATATTTGTGGGCGAACGTGGCAGCCATTTGCGCACAGCAATGTCCCACAAACAGTCGTAGATTGAAAATGACCAATTTATTATTGTTTTGGGTTTTTTGGAGGAATTATTATTAGGCGTGTGGAGTAAGGAAACTTGCCCAAGGTTTCGCCCTCTGCCTGGAATTATTTACTGTATATTGTGTGGGCAAAACAGTCAGCTGTTTGAACCATAGTTGGTCTTGGCATCACTTCTTTCGTTTAAGGTATTTTTATTCATTTCTGTTTGAACCTCCCTTTCCAACAAGCTTGAGGGTAGCGGATGGTCGCTACAACTTCAGAACATAATAGGGTTAACTAGATGATGCACCAATATACTCGAGTGCAGAGCTTCTATGATATGAATTTTAAAGCCATGCAAGAAATGCAAATATACATCCCTGCATTCCAATGTACTTCTGGGCCCTAAGATTTTTTTTCAAATGATCAAATATGGCAGTACAGTTTCACTGGCATCAGAGGTATTTATGTACTGAATGATTGAGAGATTCTATTTATATATAATGGCCCAGAAACTCTTCCAATCAAATCCTAGTGACTATCTACCATCAATTCACTTGTTCCTAAAAAGAAACCAGAAAACCAGAGGATTCATATAGATAAGTGCCCTCCTGTGCCACCAGGGAATCAAGTGCTCTGGATAGAAAATTACATAATTTTGACAGATTCCTGCTCAAAAAATTTTAAGGAAATAAATTTCTTACAAAATTATGCCAGTCAACAAGGGAAATGAATAGCCACTTTAGATAATCATTGAAAAAGACTTGTAGCCAGTAGACCATAGAAACAGTTGCCTCAGGCAGATATCGTTAACCCAACATAGCAATGGAACTTCTGAAAATTATCCTCCACTTCAAGCTAAAATTTGTACATTAAGTGACAGGAAAAAAATACAGCCAAAAGCAACTGTCATGAAGAATCAGAAGTTTAGCTGCACATTGCACAGGAAAACAGACAAATATTCTTTTGGGTGCAGATAGATATGCCCCAATTCAAAATCAATAAGGGATGCTTTACAAACACTCTCGATTATCAAGCATTAAACCTTCAGGCAACTCTTTCTACCACCAGAAATGAGAAAACATAAAGGCACACAGACATGCAGAGCTACCGGTCAAACATAAACTATGACATTGTAGTACTATCTTTGATCTAGCTACTGAAAGTCAAGATTGGTCTCATGAACAGAAAAAAAGTCTTAATATTATTCAATATGATTTTCTTAACCAACTCATGGGTATGCATTTGCTAAGCTGCCTCATGTTTCCTGCTGCTCAACTCTACTTCAATATTCAGTTAATTCTTAATCATTTTATTTGTACAGGCAATTCATCAGTAACAAATACCTGGTTTATGATCCAATACCTTGGTAAAAAAAAAAATCCAATTCCAGATGCAATGTTCAGTTCATAGATAATAACTGCACTTTTTTCCTGATCGTCAAAATTCATTCTTTCCACAATATTAATATTCACGTGAAGAAAGCAACAAAAATAACCTATTTCTAATACTATAATAATAATAATAATAATCCTTGCATTTGATATAGCGCTTTTCACGTCGGGAGGACGTCCCAAAGCGCTTCACAGAACACACTGTAAAGTGAATTGACTGTATATTTGTGGGCGAACGCGGCAGCCAATTTCGCACAGCAATGTCCCACAAACAGTCGTAGATTGAAAATGACCAATTTATTATTGTTTTGGGTTTTTTTGGAGGGATTATTATTAGGCGTGTGGAGTAAGGAAACTTGCCCAAGGTTTCGCCCTGCCTGGAATTGAACCCAGGTGTCTTGCTTGCAAAGCAAGTGCTCTAACCACTGAGCTACAGGACTCCACTACTAATAGGTAGTGCCAAGTCAGTGAAATTAGCATAAATCGTATTGCATTCAAACAAAGCTTAGTATGGTAGTCATCTGTTTTGATATCTCATCAGTTACATTTTCTTTTGGGCACAGTTCCTGTTTCCAGTTTAAAGCTGTTATTTTAAGCTTAAGATATCCCATGTTTATATAAATTTATGGCTTGTCGAAATTAGGTATAAATAATTTATCTATCAGTAGCTGGCAATGCTCTGTGGAATGCATTCAAGCACAGATGAAATGAGAATTTGGTTCAAGTTACTTGGTTTACTTTCCTTTTCCATCCACTGCCTTAAAGTTCCTTTCTAGTGTTGATATTTTAGGCCCCTTTATTTCCATATTAGTAGGTTTTGTTCTCTCTGATATTTAAAAAGAAAACACTGTAGCTGAAAGTATTCTGGGTGTATATAGATTTGATTAATATACATACGCAAAATACATATACATATATAAAAATGATAAATTTCAATTTTCCTTCATTGCAAGAAATCCTAGCTTAAAGTTAGGGCAAAATGTGATGAGGAAACATTTCTTCTCACTGACAAAATTAAGAATCTGGAATGCACTGACTCAGACAACCATAAATTGAGATCAGTTGAGAGATTTTGAAAAGGATAGATAAATGGAGAGCAAAATTATTAAGGGATATGAAACTCCTCATTGATCCGATGCAGGTGCAAGTGCCTTCGAATGGTCTGGAAACTGCTCCATAGTTGCCCCATCCCAGGAATGTACCCCATGAAAGAATCCTTCACAAATTCATATCACTGGGTGGTAAAGAGTTTACAGTGATTGTAAGGAGAACTAAACTAAAATGAGGGAGTTTTAAAGTGAATTGTGTGAAAGGTCCATACTAGGATCTCTCCTAAAAATTAACTAAAACGTTATTATTTTCACCCACACTCCAACCAAACATCAGTAATTTAGTTACTTTTCTCTGTTGCACGATGCTCATGCATTATGTATTTTCATTTGAAATTGCAAATCATTATTTTTCCAAAGGGAAAACAAGTTTTGCAAAAATTAATCTTGAACCCACTTTTGGGCATTGTTACAGATAAATAACAAAATCAGTATTTGGCAACTGCTGTACTCCAATCCAGTTCCTCTTTTAATGAATGGAAATCAAATTGCAGTATGCTAAAATGAATCTGGTAAACTTGAATACACTTACTGAAAAAATTATATAATCACACCAGCTTATTCTAGTGTATTTCCAGAATAGCTTGTCCCCCCTCCCTTCAGGTAAATTTGAGTCATAGCGAGAATGGAATATGTCATTATCCCATGTGGACCCAATGTAACAGGGTCAAAATGCACAAATTATATCAGCTCAGAAAATCCTCGACCGTGAGGATCCATTTAGAGATGGATGTGTGAAAGATCAGGTTGTACAAAATCAAACTGTCAATGTCTTTAACCGTGATTATAACATTTTCTGTAACCTACATAGCTTTCATGTTTGCCATTATATCATTCAGAGCAACCACTCCAATCTAACTCCTCAATTTTTTGCAAATCGATCTCATTATTATTTCCATGTGACAATTATTGCTTGGCTCTCCAAATGACAAATTTATTTCCTCAGAAACTCATTTTTCTTAAGCCTGTAGATTAAAGTTCACAACATGTCAGAGCCAAGCACACCTCCAAACACCGCTCAGATCTCAAACAGACAATTTCAAACAAAGAAGTCATGCTAATCAGAATTGTGAAATCTCCTCTGACGTTAAAAAAAACCCGATAGCAGTATTTGCCCACTTACATTTGCTTAGTTAAAAGCACAGATTGAATGAAGAGGTAGCTAACTGTTGTCCTAAACACAAGTACAGGATTTTTTTTCTCCTTTTTATCTTATATATTTGCCCCTCCTTTTTTCCCTACCTCTTTAGTTGTAAATGTAGTTATAAAAATGATTTAGGGATGCGACTAGTATTTTGCTGTTAATAAACAATGAAAGCAATTTTACTTTCCATAACACTTAGCATACATTTAAATACCAATAGTGTCTGGTTAAATTATCCTTGACAGAGCAAAATTACTTGAACCAGAAAAACAATGAATCGCTGGCACTCCTTATAACTGAGTGATAATCTAGGTAACCTTTCATATAATTACCTCCTCTACGTGAGGTTACAATAATCACCTTTCACATCAAACCTTTATTCTTAGCTTTTAATAGTCCATCAAAGAAACAAATTAAGTTTACTCATTTTTAAAAAAAATGGAACATGTTTTCTATTACATGGTACCATTCACCCACAAACACAAACAAACTCACTCCACTTCACATTAAATCTTGTAAATTGCTTTCACCTTCACATCTTCATGACGTGAAAGGCATTATACCAAATGCAAGGATTATTATCATCATTGCCAAATAAAATAACAGGTACATTGGTTTGTAAAATGACCAAACTTCCAAACAAAAGCAAATTAAAAAAAAGCTACTGATGACCAGTGTTTAAACATGGTGTTTGCTAAGATCATTGCTGCACATTGGAATTCAGCCTTGCAAATATCTTTCTTCTGTTTGGTATTTTTAATTTCCTATAAACCTTCATTCTTCAAATTATTCGGTAAATTGTTGCAGTTTACAATAAATTTCCAAAATGCAGTGATAAATAACCAGCCTATATTAACTTGCAATACAAACATTTAATATGTGCTTTTCAATTGTCAGTTTATCTAGGTTATCTGATGTGTATATAGATGTCTATCACTGCTGCATTGCTGAGACTAATAACGAAAAAGTACTGATTCTAATTATACATACGCTGATGAATCACTTACCATCAGTATTGTTTCTTGTATCAAACGGAACAAAACTTCTGAGGTCACGAAGTTGACTGCACTTTCGTTTGCCCAAACCTCTCTGGAAACAACGAATTTGTTTGAGCAAATCGGTGTTTGGGTAACAGGATGATGCTGCTGAAAGGATTGAGACGTAAATGAGTCTGGTGTGCAGTTACGGAAGAAACGTAGATGTAAATGATAACAGAATCTTGGATATGCTACAATACAATTACATAAGAAAATATCATTCTTCCACTTAATACAACACTTCATCAAGTCAAAATGTCTCAAAGTGCTTCACTGAGTTTAATGTAAAGTGTTGTGGTGTAAGAAAATAAAATCAGCCAAATCTGTAAGGAAATAACGCTAATTCCTTTAACCAGATGTCAGACTGTTTTATTATTATTTGTTCGTTATTCCCCAATATCCCGATGGGTCAGACCAAAGGCCGGTACAATCAACAGATCTTATAACAGAACAACACCACTATAGATATCCTGAGTTCAAGAGTTCAACACTGTGTCTTTACAGCACACAAGCTTTTTTTGTGGAGTCCTGTAGCTCAGTGGTTCGAGCACTCGCTTTGCAAGCGAGAGACCTGAGTTCAATTCCAGACAGGGCGAAACCTTGGGCAAGTTTCCTTACTCCACACAGAGCCTAATAACAGAGCCTAATAATAATCCCTCCAAAACAAAAAACAATCATAAATTGGTCATTTTCAATCTACGACTGTTTGTGGGACATTGCTGTGCGCAATTGGCTGCCGCGTTCGCCCACAAATATACAGTCAATTCACTTTACAGTGTGTTCTGTGAAGCACTTTGGGACGTCCTCCCGACGTGAAAAGTGCTATATCAAATGCAAGGATTAAGCTTGATTCTTCATGCTTTCAGTCTTCTTGCTTACAGCTTTCAATCTTCCATCTGATATCCTCAGTCTTAATGTTTCTAGCTCTCAGTCTTCCATCTCCCATACCCTTGTCTCCACAGCCCAGGATGGCCCCATCTCCCGTACCCTTGTCTCCGCAGCCCGGGATGGCCCCATCTCCCGTATCCTTGTCTCCGCGACCCGGGACGGCCCCGTACACAAAGTTATCGGAATTCTTGTACCAATGTTCGTCCAATCATGGTGCGGACATTAGATCATCTGTCGAAATCATGCTGGGTTCACGTGAACACCTCATGGGGTGTACGTGCCTCAGCACACACACACACATTGTCCTTAAGACCCCTGTTATCTGATCTAATTGTCTAAGATAAAGGATTGATCAGTTTAGGGCTGTATCTGGTGCTCATTATTTTGTGGTGTGGGATCATTAGTACATTCCTTTTAAGTGACTGGTTATTTCTTATCAGTATCCCGGGATGGTACCAAGGTCCTCTGGTTTAAGCAACTTGCTCATTAATTGCTATTCTTGAGGGTTGCCTTTTGTTGCTTGGCAGGCACTGTCAGAATCTAGCGACTTATTGCTCACGCGAGATCCTGTGTCGACTGGTACCTTGGACCATTACCTCTGTGGCTTGTTGTCATTTACTGATAAAAGGTGACCCCCTGCCCCTCTCCGTTAATCTTTCAAAAACAGAGAAAACCAGATGTGTCCTATCCCATGACTGTCAGTCCAGTTGTCCCCCACACTTAACTTAAAAGTTAACCCATTCACAACATCTATTGTGATTCCAGCAGTATACAAAAAGTGTATATTCTAACAGTGGCTTTATATTTGTAGCAGAACACAGAAGCCAATTTGCACCCAGTTATCACCCAAAATGAGCCAAAAGTAAATAATCAATTTGACCTGAGGGATTATTGGCCAAAACAATGGGAGAAACTCCATTCTCTTTTCATATAGTGCTATGGAACCTCTAACATCACACTGAGCAGCCATATGGGACCTTGCTTTCATGTCTCATCTGAAGAAGGTATTTCCCACATGCAACGCTCCCCGAGCATTGCATGTCAACTTGGGATAGGAGCTAAAATCCCAGTAGGGGTTTGAACTCATAATCTTCCCAAGATGATGACAACAATAACAAGTTGCATTTATATGGTGCAACGTTCTTAGACATCACGGAACAGGTGGCTAAAATTCTTCAGGGGGAAGGGGAACATCCAGAAGTGATGGTCCAGGTTGGGATCCGTGATATTGCTAAAAAAAAAGGGCTGAGATGCTACAGGGAGAATATCAAAAGCTGGGGAACAAACTAAAGAATGGAACATCCAAGGTGGTGATCTCTGGATTACTGTGCCTCGGGCAAATAAATGCCATAATAGCAGGATCAAGCATATGAATGCTTGGCTGGAGAAATGGTCCAGAAAAGAGGGCTTCAGGTTTCTGGATCATTGGGACCAGTTCTGGAACAAGTGGGACCTGTACCATATGGATGGTTTACATCTAAACAGGACTGGGGCGAATGTCCTTGCAGACAGGCTATCTAATGCTGTTGGGGAGGGTTTAAACTAATTTTGAGGGGGGAAGGGAATGCAAAAAATAATGGGCAAGAAAATGGAGAAATAAAGCGGGGGGGAGTGCAGAACAGGTCAAGTTGGTCTTGGAGTGCATGTGCCTAAATGCACAGAGTTTAGCAAACAAGATTGGTGAGCTGCAGGCTCAAGTGGTCATTGGGGAATACGATGTAGTAGCAGTAACAGAGACTTGGCTCAAACAAAGACAGGAATGCGAGCTGAATATTCCTGGCTATAATGTATTCAGGAGGGATAGGGAAGGATAAAAAGGAGGGGGAGTGGCAATATTAATCAAGGATACGGTTGTAGCCGTGGAAAGAGTCGAGGTGCTGGAGGACCCCAAAACAGAATCCATCTGGTTAGAGTTAAGGAACAAAAAAGGAGTTGTTATGCTGGTAGGGGTATACTATAGACCACCAAATAGTGGGAAGGAAATAGATGAGCAGATCTGCAAGCAGATCTCAGACAGGTGCAAGGCCAATAGAGTCGTGATAATGGGGAACTTTAATTATCCCAACAGACTGGCAAAACAACAGCGCAAAGGGCAAGGAGGAGGAAAGATTCCTAAAATGCATACAGGACAACTTTCTTGATCAGTACGTTTCCAGCCCAATGAGGAAGGAAGCAGTGCCGGATCTAGTTCTGGGGAATGAAGTAGAGCAAGTGGAGCAGGTTTCAGTGGGAGAGCACCTGGGCAATAGTGATCACAACATAATTAGATTCAGAGTGCATATGGAAAGGGATAAGGAACAATCAAAGGTGAAGATACTCAACTGGAAGAGGGTTAATTTCAGTGAGTTACAAAAGGGACTCTAGCCAAGTTGGACTGGAAAGAAAGGTTGGCAGGTAAATAATAATAATCCTTGCATTTGATATAGCGCTTTTCACGTAGGGAGGACGTCCCAAAGTGCTTCACAGAACACACTGTAAAGTGAATTGACTGTATATTTGTGGGCGAACGCGGCAGACAATTGCACACAGCAATGTCCCACAAACAGTCGTGGATTGAAAATGACCAATTTATTATTGTTTTTGGTTTAAAACAACTAAAGAGCAGTGGGAAGTCTTCAAGGATGAGATAGCGCAGGGACAGAACAAATACATTCCCACAAAAGGGAAAAGTAGGGGATCCAAACCTCCCTGGATGACGAAGGTAATTGTGTCTAGAATTAAGCAGAAAAAGGAGGCATATGACAAATATCAAGCCCAAGATACAGAAGACAACCAAATAGAATATAGGAAGCTCAGAAGAGATTTGAAAAAGGAAATAAGAGAGGCAAAAAGATTATACGAAAAAAGGTTGCGGGTAACATTAAAGGGAATCCTAAAATGTCTTACAAACATATCAAGAAAAAAAGGTTAGTCAAAGGTAGGGTGGGGCCAATTAAGGACAAAAGCGGAAATCTTATTGTGGAGGCAGAGGGCATGGCTGATGTACTGAATGAGTACTTTGCATCTGTCTTCACAAAATAAGTGGATGCACCAAATGCCGCAGTATCGGAGGAGAGGGTAGAGGAAATGAATAGCATCAGTATAAACAGAGAGGAAGTACTGAAAAGGTTGACTGAGCTCAAGGTAGATAAGTTGCCCGGTCCAGACGGAATGCAGCCAAGATTACTATTGGAGGCAGTCAGTCTAACATCAGTAGTGGGGAAACTCCTGGAGACTATAATCCGGGACAGAATAAATCTTCACTTAGAAGAATATGGGTTAATTAGGGACAGCCAGCACAGATTTGTTCAAGGCAAATCTTGTCTAACAAATCTAATAGAATTTTTCGATGAGGTAACAGAGAGGTTGGATGAAGGTAGTGCAGTTGATGTAGTTAATATGGACTTTCAAAAGGCATTTGACAAAGTGCCACATAAAAGACTTGTAAGAAAAATAGAAGCCCATGGTATAAAAGGGATAGTGGCAGCATGGATCCAGAACTGGCTGGGAGACAGAAAGCAGAGAGTTGTGGTGAACAATTGCTTTTCTGACTGGCACAGTGGCGTGCCCCAGGAATTGCTATTGGAACCACTGCTCTTCTTAATATACATATATAAATGATCTGGACTTGGGTATAGCAAGTACCATTTCCAAGTTTGCAGACCACACAAAGTTAGGTAGGACAGTAAACAGTGAGAAGGATAGCAGCCAATTGCAGGAAGACATAAACAGAATGACAAAATGGGCAGACACATGGCAGATGAATTTCAATGTGGAGAAATGCGAGGTAATGCATTTTGGAAGAAAGAATGAGGGGAGGCAATATAGGCTGGTAATACAATCTTAAGGGGGGTGAAGGAACAGAGCGACCTGGGGGTTCAGGTCAATGAATCCTTGAAGGTGGCAAGACAGGTAGATAAAACTGTATAAAGGGCATATGGGATACTAGGCTTTATAAATAGGGGCATAGAATACAAGAGTCACGAGGTTATGATTAACGTATATAAAACACTGATAGGCTTCAGTTAGAATACTGCGCCCAGTTCTGGGCACCCCACTAGAGGAAGGATGTTAAGGCATTGGAGAGGGTGCAGAGGAGATTTACAAGGATGGTACCAGGAATGAGGGACCTTGATTATGAGGAAAGGCTAGAGAGGCCGGGATTATTCTCATTGGAGCAGAGAAGGTTACGAAGAGACCTAGTAGAGGTCTTCAAAATCATGAGGGGATTTGAT